AATAAATTCAATATCTTCAATCTAAGCTTCAAATAACATAATTATCTAACATCTATGACCCAAGAATACTAGAGTTTTTAGCTACTCATATTCACATAAAATCAACAATAAAAGTCTTAAACATAATATAAACAAACAAATAGAAGAAAGTTTAGAAGAACTCTTTGAATCCTTGCTCCAAGATGTTGTTCTTCTTCTCCTTTCTTAGCTCCAAGATGAAGCTCCTCCTTCTTCTATGGCTTTTTCTCCCTCAAAATCTGATCTCTCTTAATAATGGAGCTTTACTTTATGTAAGTTGAGTGGATCCTCTCAGATTTCCCATTTTGCCCCCAAATAATTGATTTCCCGGATTGGAATAGCGCGGGAGCGCATGACCAGTGCATGACCCGCGCTAATGGGGTTTCTTTCTATCCAAATCACTGAACTAGCACGGGAGCGCATGACCAGCGCATGACCAGCGCTAGTGGGGTTTTCTCTTGTTAAGCTGTTGTTGCTCAACTTTTCGTCATTTGACTCCATTTTTCATTTGATTACCATCATAAATCCTCATTTGTTTATTGAATTCCTGTGAGACATTAAAGTCATGATTAGAGCCAACTTTGCATTAGTTGAACATTTACAATAGTAAACCATCCTTAAGCTAAACATAGGCTATATTAAATTGAGCTAAACATAGGCTATATTAAACAATTTAGCCTATTATCAGTGCACCGTAAGAATTGTGGCTTGGTTCATTCTATGGCACCGCTTAGTGACTCTTTCTTGCTCATATCTGTGTTGTGATTATGTGACTAAGTAAAAGAACTGTAAATCATGCTAATTATCATGTTAGGGCTTCATGCCGATACTGTTGAGACCCGAGTGGTCGTTTCTTGCTGTCATATCATTAGTTTCATTGATATTCTGTACTCAGTCTTGTTCATGCATATCCTATTATGTCTCAGTCTCGGTTGTTATCATTTGGAACATCATATCATTGTTTCGGACTAGTATCATGGCATTGTGAGCTGTGTGTGAGAGACTAGAGAGTGATGACTGAGTGAGGCCGAGAGCCTGATTATGAGTGACAGTATGGGATCGGGCTGCAAGCCACAACACAATATTGATTATGACTTCATTGGTTTGTTATAGCGCTTGGGCTGAAAGGAGACCCTCCGGAGACTATACACCCCCAGTGAGCGTGCATGATACTATTGAGCACTTGGGCTGAAAGGAGACCATCCGGAGACTATACACCACCAGTGAGCATGCATGATACTATTGAGGGATGGATTTCCCTAGACATGGATTTGTCCGAAGTACTAATACCTGGAGATGGATTTCTCCTTAGGGTTGGATTACCCTTGTTCCTCGGTACCGGTTGACTTGAGGTGAGTGTGTTATTTATATTTCGGGATGGATTTCCCTAGGCCGGATGGCCATATATGGTACCGAGTGGTTGAGCGCTTGAGAGTGGGAGAACACGGTACATTTTTTATACATTTTTGGCATTGACATGTAGAGTTTTACGAGCTTTATACTTCATATCGTCCAGATTAGTACTTTTCTTTACTATCAAGTTAAAAATATTGAATTGCCAGCATGTCTACTTTCCTGTACAATTTAAATATGTTATAATTTCTGAGGTTTAGTTCGTCACTACCTATCAGTCCATTGTTTGGACTTGTTACTTACTGAGTTGGTATACTCACGTTATCCCCTACACCTTATGTGCAGATCCAGGCATCTCAGGCCACGGTAGCAGTTATTGACTGTTCTAGACGCGTATTTCATTGGAGATTGCGAGGTAGCTGTCTGATGTTCGCAGCCCCGCATTTCTCCTTCTTTACCTCCCTTCTAGTATATTTTGGATATTTCAGACTATTTTGGTCTAGTTGTATTTCAAAACAAATGTAGTGTTGTTCATGACTTAGTGACACCTGAGGTCGGGCATTTTATTTTTCGCTTTTATTTTGATTTGACTTTACATCTTTTATGGAATTTCAGTGAAAATGGTATTATTTAATCTTTAAATGAAATGTTAAACTATTTTGGAAATGTGTCGGCTGGCTTAGTTTCACGATAGACGCCATCACGACCGGGTCGATTTTGGGGTCGTGACAAGTTGGTATCAAAGCCTAGGTTCCATAGGTCTCACGGGTCATGAGCAAGTTTAATAGAGTCTCGCGGATCGGTATGGAGACGCCTGTACTTATCTTCGAGAGGCTTTAGAACCTTTAGGAAAAACTTCACATTCTTGAATTCTTGTCGTACGAATCTGTTGATTCTGGTAAATAAACTTCTGTTATTCTATTCTCTCAAGATGGTGAGGACAAGTGCTACCGGGCAGGACGGACGGCCACCAGTACCACCAGTTGGGGCCACTAGAGATCGGGGTCGTGGTCGAGGCTGTGATAGGGGCTGGGGTGTAGCTCGCACAGCACCTAGGGCAGCACCTGCATGTCACGACCCTAAACTCAGACCCGGTCGTGATAGCGCCTCTCGTGAAGACAAGGCCAGCCGACACAACACCCAATTCAATTTTTAAGCAATTAAAATAGTATAATTAAGTCATTAACATGAGTAAATTCCAAATAGACAGTGAAACAGTACAATTTGCAAAATAGACATAGCCCGACATCAGGGTGTCACCAGTCATGAACATCTACTAACCAATTAAAACAGTAAGAGTCTACATAGTCTATTACAGAACTAAAACAAGAGAAAATAAGATAGGGGAGAAGCACTGGGCTGCGAACGCCGATAAGATACCTAGTGAATCTCCGAACCGCCTGAGCTGGAAACAATCAACACTCGCTAGCGGGACCTGAAGCGCCTGAATTTGCACACAGGGTATAGGGAGTAAAGTGAGTACTCCAACTCAGTGAGTAATAACAACAAATGAATATTGAGCGATAAGAAATCACGTAAAAGCACATCAACATGCTATAAAGAAGTAATATAAAACAAGCAAAAGCAATGAAATGGTGAAAATATATAAAGACACCTTAGTTCAGAATAAGCTTCTTTAAGACACATTTTTAACAGTTAAATAATTAAATGAAAAGCAGCTAGGACAGATAAACACATAAAAATCCGCCCCTCGGGCATAATGTCAATAGAATCCGCCCCTCGGGCAATATCATGGAATCACACCAGCCCCTCGGGCTATATCTCATATCACAATGGGTAACCGCACTCACTGGGGGTGTACAGACTTCGGGAGGGGCCCCTTACGGCCCAAGCACAATATTAAGCCATCCTGTGGCATAATCAATAGGCTCTCGGCCTCATATCAAGCCACCTCGTGGCGTACAACTCAGGCCCTCGACCTCATAATCATAATTAGTGTATCACTGTTGCGGCGTGTAGCCCGACCCAAAGTATCCTCACAATACAGACCCTCGGCCTTACTCAGTCAGAATCTCATAAGCCACTCGGACAACAGTAAAACATGATGCTCAGCCCAAAATATCATTTAAAATATCATTTAATGTGTTAAAACAGAGTCAACATGGCTGAGTTATGAAAACAGTATAATATAGCATGATTGAGTACAGATATAAAATCACAACAGTGAGGAAATATCAGTAAAAATCTCCTAAGGGTCCAAGTAGTTGGCACGAGGCCCAAATATGGCATTCAGCCCAAAACATAATGATAGCAAATAGTTTTCAATGAAATACGCGGTAAAACAGTCATTCGGGATGGACTAAGTCACACTCCCCAATGGTGCACGACCCCACGCTCGTCATCTAGCGTGTGCGTCACCTCAATATAGCACAACGATGTATAATCCGGGGTTTCATACCCTCAGGATAATATTTAAAATCATTACTCACCTCAATCCGGTCCAAACTCTAGCATGTGATACCTTTGCCCCTTGAATCAGCCTCAACTCGCGTCGGCTCTATCCAAAATCAGAATCACAACGTCAAAATATGCTAAGGGAACGAAGCCCATGCGAAAAAAAATCAATTTACAACATAAATCCCGAAATTAACCAAAACCCGACCCCCGGACCCACGTCTCGGAATTCGATAAAATTTACATCAATAGATTCTTTATCTCCCCACGAGTTCATACATATCAAAAGTACTCAAATCCGACCACAAATGGCCCCTCAAATCCTCAAGTCAAGGTCTCCAATACCAAGCCCTAATCCCCAATTTTAACCCTTAATTTCCATTAATCTTAGGCCAAACCAGTGAAATAATGTCATAGGATCGATTATTAGGCTCAAAAATCTTACCTCCAGACGATATCCCTTGAATCCCTCTTCAAAATCTCCTAAAAAGCTCCAAAACCGACTTGAAATGGTGAAGAACAACTCAAAAATCGCGAAGGAATTCTTTTATACCTTCTGGCCCAGGCTTTTCGCACCTGTGGCCAATTCCTCTTTCCAGTGCAACCGCTTCTGCGATCATCACTTAGGGCTTCTTCCGCACCTGCGACCAGACATCCGCTTCTGTGGGCCCGCAGGTGCGGTTCATATCTCGCATCTGTGGTTTTCACTTACTTTGCCTTTGGCCGCATCTGTGGCTCCTAACTCGCTTCTGCGAGACCACACCTGCAGTCCCCTAGCCGCAGGTGCGATTATGATAGAATTGGGAAAAATTTCAGCTGTCACAACCTAACTCAAATCTTCCGCCAACCATCCGAAATCACCCCGAGGCCCCTGGAACCTCAACCAAAAGCACCAACAAGTCCTATACCACTATCCAAACTTATACCAATCTTCAAAACACCTCAAACCACATCGAATCAACCAAAACACCTCGGATTCAAGCCTAAGGTTCCCAAAATCTTCTGAACTACGCTTTTGATCAAAAAGTCTACCAACCCACATCCGAATGACCTAAAATTTTGCACAAACATCCCAAATGACACAACGGACCTACTGCAACTTTCGGAATTCCATTCCGACCCCTATATCAAAATCTCACTTATCAACCGGAAAATACCAAAATTCTAATTTCGCCAATTCAAGCCTAAATCTACTCCGTACCTCCAAAATACATTCTGATCACGCTTCTAAGTCCCAAATCACCTAACGGAGCTAACCAAATCATAAAAATTATAATTCGAGATCATATACTAGCAAGTCAAAACTTGGTCAAATCTTTCAAATTTTAAGCTTCAAATTGAGAATTGTGCTTCCCAATTCATTCTGATTAACGTGAAAACCAAAATCGATGATTTACATAAGTCATAATACATCACACGGGGCTAGTCATGCCCGAGAACTGGCGAGCGAAGTGCAATAGCTCAAGACGACCAGTCGGATCGTTACATCCTCCCCCACTTAAACATACATTCGTCCTCGAACGTGTCCTGAGTTGTTCCGAAAACCATCAAATCGCTGTATAACCTTACCATACATATACTTGGGGGTGATCCCACGTCACCCTATCTCATATAGGTCCAATAACACAAGCAACTGAGACTTCGCAATCCAACCTAGCCCATAAACCTTAGAATCCCATTTCCACTTCTAAAATCATCCACAAGATCAGAATCCCATATCTATACTTTGAATAAGCCCGTACAGCTGTAATAACCTATACCTGCAAACTCAGGTGAAATTACATGATATACTATATAACTCAAACACTTGTAGCGATAACTTCCAATCACAACAGCTGCACACAACAACCGAATACCGATAGTAAACCTCTTATCAACTAAAGTCTCATTCCAACACTTTCATATACTGTCAATGATAAATGAAACACATAGAAGGTCATAACAATTCCTCAGATCAACCATTCGTGAAGCCACTTCTCCTTTGGCAAGGACCCTAGCAAATTTCTGAGCCGAACCTCGATATTATCCTTCCAACATGCTGAAACCGAATCAGTTTTTGTACATTATAGATCCCAACGATCTCATCTAATTCCAACACAACTACTCTGGTGACATGACACATTAATACAATCTACAGCCACAACTCGTGCAATACGCGCACCAATAAGCAACAATCTGAGCGTACTCAAATCATAAAAAAATTACTCAAATGAAAGAGTTGTACCTTAAGCTCACCAGTACCACCACAACATAATGCTGAGAACCCGTCACACATCGTAGAAACAGAACACACGAGTCTAACCCGAAGAGTCATACCTCCACATAAATTCGTTGTAATGCGCGACCCTATCCAAACACTGGTCCACATGAAACACCTCAAGTCACTCTGCTCAAAATCGACAACCACGCGCAATTTGATGTCTAGAACCAAAGCAAATCATCATAACCACTGCAAATCAATTGACATAACATTACACACCCGAAAGGACACAACCGATATGCCATCTGCTGAGGAATACCTAATACTCTTCCTGCTTAAATTCCACTAAGAGACCCTGAATAAACCGCACCACATGTGCCTATATCCAACAAAACCTAACGTCTCGCAACATGGAAAGGTAACTCATAGATCTCCCCATATCACTAATAAGCTCAAATAACAATCGAATCAACACATCACTCAACAATACAACTCGGAGTCAACTAAGCCGACTCGACGTAGAACACACATCCATTTGGTCTACCAATGAACCCCTTACCAAGGAGTTCCTGAAGCTGCTCCTTCAACTCCTCTGACTCTGCCGGGGCCATACGATACGATGCCCAACACCAAATCAATACCGAAATCAACAACCCTGTCCGGTGACATGCCCGACAGCAGGAAACACATCCGAAAAATCCCTCACCACTGGAATTGAATCCATAGAAGAAGTCTCTGCCATGACACCCATCACGAATGCCAAATAAGAAAGACAACCCTTTCGAACCATCCGCTAGGTCTTCAAAATGAAACCACCTTGCTATGAACATAATCCGTCGAACGTCGCCACTCAATCCGTGGCATCCCCAGCCTAGCCAACGTTGTTGTCTTAGCGCAACAACCCAGAATAACATAACACTGAGACAACCAGTCTATACC